AAATCGAAATCACATTGAACCAGCCTCGAAGTGAGATTGAGCATTCATTGCGCAACAAAATGATATCGTTGATTACGACACACGCGCGGCAAACTCGTGATGAAATTATGCTCGAAACTTTGGGGGTACCGGTTAATAGCAGCGTGCCGCGGATTTTCGCGTGTCATTGCACGACAGTGGAAACTGGCTATTCGCTGTTCCGCTCAGAACGTACAATTACGTTCGAAGACGTGTTTGTGAATTAGATTGTCGCGAAAATTATAGCATCGGTGGAGCCGTGAGCCGCGCTTTGGTCGTTGCGCAACCAGGATGCGCGTTATTATCGTTTCTCCAAATAAATTAGTCAAGTACGAGTACACTCGGATTTCTGAAGAATTCTTCTCCTCTTTTCTTTCTAACCTCTTCAGAATTTTTCGAAGCGATGCGAAAAATGAAATTTAATCCTTTTTATTTTATTCGCTCTTTGCTTCCACAACGTTGAATGGTTCTCCATTCTGGCAGATTTTGTGCTTGGAAATAATCTTAATTTAAAGGAGGAAAGAAAGAAAGAAAGAAAGAAAGAAAGAAAGAAAAGACGAGCAAACGTACACTGGAGAGGTTAATTGTTTCGATTGTTCTAACGACGCGTGTGTTTACTTGATTTTTACATTTACACCCGTCGAATATGTGTTTCGCCTCAGCGACGATACGTTTCTTACTTATCATATTTATTACTTAAATTATATAAGGTTTATTCGTTCTCATCTAACGGAACATATACATACATACTTGTTTCAGGTAGACTAATATTCGATACAGCTATACGAATTACGTATTAATCTTGGTTACGCGGATGCACGGTCTCTTCTCCTTTTTTTTTTCTCCTTTCTTTTCCTCTCTTCTTCTCTTTTCTTTTCATTTGTCAGTCGGAATTGAATTTTCACGTAACCATCTTGCAGCCTGTTGTTAATTCCTCTGTTGTTGTTGCTCGTAGACAAATGATCGTTCGGGGAATGATGATCTTAGACAATGAACCATAGCTGCAAGCAAATGGTAGGAACTGCTTTGGTAGCTGTTTGCGCATTTTCTGTGACATGCTCGCTCTTAAGTGTGTATGCGTGTGTGAAATTGCACGTAGACTGCGAACGTTCAAACGAACACTATCGAAACACTATCAGTTCAAGAAACTATTTGTAGGAAAAAATGGTACACATGATTTTCGATATACATTGAGAGTAGTCTGTAAAGATTCAGTCGAACACGTGAATATCCGCAGTCTAGTTGCATCTGGTTCTGGATATTGATCATGCGTCGAAGTGCATGCTATTTGTTACCAGCCGCAGAAACAGAAGTGGCATTCTCTACCACGATCGACCGACGTACAGATTCCAAGTACTTTCACTCGCGTTCGCGGCCAGTCGCATGCTATCTGATTATCGCGTGGAATAGAGAACGTTGCACGTGAGATGCACTTACGTCTGGCGCGGCTGCTTGGACGCATTTGGCGAGGTTGAACATCTTGTTGCAGTTGTCACTGCCCGCTGCAACATCGGGGAAAAAAAAAGAAAACACCACGATATCAGTGATTTGGTGCGATTTGCCTTAATAGAAATCTTAATAGATCTTCAACATTCAGAAGCTGTTTCGAGACACTTGCTACTTTCTAACTGACTGACGTCAACGCGATGATTCGATCTCGAATATACAAAGGATCGAACGTGCCGATCTTGGAACTTGGAAATTTCAGCGTTGACGAGATGTTTAGAATTTGACGAACAGGCTGATCACGTACCTGTCGGGGTGCATTTCGGTATAATTTCCTGCGCCCTTGTCTGAAGTTGATCCGGCAACAGACCCATCATCATGTCCGTGTCTAGGTTCGCTTCGTCATCCACCTGAGCGAAACGATTCCTCGATCAAGTGTGTCTTAATGACCAACGACAATGAGAAATTCTCGATATTATAAGACATATAGATCCTTTATCGTAAAAAAAAAAAAAAAAAA